CGTTTCGCCAGCACCTGTGACCGGCATCTTCAGAGTGCAGGAGCACAGACAGGAGCAGTATCTTTTGGGATATTATTTATGGCTTTGGTTTCAAAATGTGAATTTCCCTGTAGTTTTATATCAGTTTAAACCAACTGTGTCACTCTCAGAATATACTTACTGAAAAAGAGGAAATAACTACTTCCCCATATCAGGTGGACATTGCAAGGATGGGCAAAGTAAGATGGGCTATATACTATTTAAATATACAGAACAGCTATGAGACTTAAACAGTGTATCAAAATCAAATAAGTACAGTATCTTCCTGGAATCTGTCCCCTTTTAGCTACATGTAGTAGTTCCTTTCAGCACTCTATTCAAAGGCAGAGTTTTATCCTCAAGCAACATGGATGAAAGAGGTTATTGCACTCTATTCAAAGGCCACATTTTATCCTCAAGCTATAGGGATGAAAGAGGTTATTACTGCAATTTTCTAACAGATTCAGCATCTTCAGAGATACATCATCTGAAGTTACTACCTAAGAAATTCTGCAAATTATTAGTCCATTAAAAAAAACCCAAACAAACTTGGTGCTTACCACATATTTTAAGTGGTGCTTCAAGTTCTAACAGAATTGGTTGACTGAGAAAGATCTCTCGAGATTTCAAGCACAATCCTCTTATTTCATTCTCTTGCAGCTGGACATTTTTACCAGGTTTGGATCCTCTCACTACATAGAAAAAAAAATATGGTACTTATAATACATAAATGAAAATCATGAAGTTCCAATCAATTATGTTTATTAGGAGGGAGGATTTTGACCCCCCAAATCCTCCTTCAACTATATGTGTCAGTTCATTTCACAGTGGCAGAACATTTAGGATATGCATGCAGTTATTTTTTTGACTACCAGCTCATGCCAATATATTCTGTGCTGTTAGTGTATTTTTTTTTTTTTTGCAAACAGCAACACACATCTGGTATACCTCAAAGCTTATTCCAGCTCCACCCTCTAAAAAGGTTGCATACTTATTAAATTCAAAATGGCCACTTGGAATAATTGTAGATATAAAGCACTGCCGCTAATGGGTTATGAATATTAGCAAAGGCCATAACAATAGGTGGATATATTTTAAAAGTGCAATATCCAGGTATGGCTATATTTAGAGCTGAACCTGTGTACAAGGTATAAGAGTAGTAAACTGATCAAAATCATAGTGCACAGTTCAAGATGTCAACAACAGCATTCTCTAAATAGATGCAAAATATTCTCAAAAATATTGAAGGGAATTGTAGCAGCTTTATAGACTTGCATAATCAGCAGAACAAAGGATCAAGAAATCCTGTTGGCCAATTGCTTCATTTGCATAATCTATGCCTGCTATTTCATGCTTGCAGAGAGGGAACAAGCTAGATTCTGTGATTATCTTCTCCAAGGGTTTGACTGTAACATTTTATTTTCTCTCTCATCTGTGTCTTGGTATCATAAAACAAGCAAAAAAAAAAAGTTTAAAGTATTTGTGCTGGCAGCTCTGAAGAGTGCAAAGATTATGTTTAACAAGCTTTGTTTTGAGTCAATATCAGAAACATGTTGAAATTTCCAGCAGATTACCCAGGAAATAAAGGTTGTGACCTGACCAATACTTACCCCATAATTAGCTTATTCTGTCAGTCATGTTAGCATTCCATGGTGACATTATCAGCACCAGTAGATACTGGAGTAGCAATGGAAACGCCTTGCACACATAACCTAGCATAAACTCATTGAAATACTTCCTTCTGCACTGCAGCATGGCTGCTCTGTGGCAGAATGGCTTAATGCATAATTTTCTCAAATTCACTTCCCAAGCTATAACTAGGTAACTCGAAATTAATTTATTTAACAGAAATGCCAAGTATCTAACAGCAAAATAGTTATAGAAACCAACCCAAGATACCTGTAATATAAAAGTCAACAGGACAAATTAGTATTTATTAACCTATGCTTTATTACAGTTAAGGGAAGCATGTTAATACAGAATAAGCTTTTCAAGCATGATATGCTGAAGAAATATTCTTAAAATTAAACTGAAGTCCAAAAACCAGATTTTAGGGGAAGATAGCAAGGCAGATGCTGAAAGGAACGTATGCCGGAACAGTGATCTCCATTTTAATTTGTAATATGACCAAATGGCAATTGTCCTCACAATTGTCTACAACATAGTTTATATTGTTGTTCCAAATTCTATTAGTCATTATCATTCAATGAGGCATATATCCAGGATCCCTGCAAAGTAATACCAGACTATTGGCCATACATTTGCTGCTTTGAATCTACTACAGGAGCTGATTTTCACTGAGAAAGCACAAACCATCTGAATTTGTCAAATTTCTACAATATGCAAGTTTCATTCAAATTGTGTTAATCACTAGTAAACCAAGAGTAACAAGATACATCCTTTACAAATTGTGTAACCACACTGGATAGTGGACTACCCTATAAATAAAATTACTATCCATTAAAGAATTTTCTTCACCAAAAGGTGCAATGTGTCAGCAGATATCTGTTTTAGAAGCACTTCCTATCCAGGCTGCAACTGTAAGGTACATCAGCCATGTGTAAAGCCAAGCCCCCCTCATGCTTCTCAGAAATGAGTACTTCAGTGTTGGAGATATAAAGCAGGTCTCCCAGGGTAAGCATTTCCAAGGAGATGATGCTGTGGCAGAATCTCTTCAGATCTAACTCTGTAAATAAGCAGTCAATGAGCTGGGCAACGTGGCTGCATCAGAGGGAGAGAGAGACAGGCAAGACCAGGAGACCCTCTTTACTGGTTCAGCTGGAATCTAACACCACCTATTCCTCCCTTCTCAGTGTTGTTTCCTTTAGTGGCTGTTATGCAACCTTTATATAACACTGTGCAAGAAGTGGTACCTGAATTAACTCATTTAATTCTCTCTCCATTTTCTCCTTTTAAACTAGTACAGCACAAGCTAACATTTTATACTTAATGAGAACTGAAAGGTATATATCCCGTGATCATCCACCATCATGGGAGGAGGTATCATCAGTATGCTGATGATGCACAATTATACATCTCCATCCCAGGTGAAGTAAGTGATGCTGTGACCATCCTTTCGCAGTGCCTGGAGGCTGTAAGGGTCTGGATGGGGAACAACAGG